TCCCCAGTTCTTCACATTGAGCCCACAGGGTCACAGGGAACATCAGACACTGTTGCTGAGAGTGAACTGAGGGGCTCAGGATGTCACAGGAGAGACCTGAGCACGTCTCTGTCACTCTGTCAGGTCGGGCAGCTGTCTTCACGCTACAAACAAGAGTCATGAACAATCACTGTGAAGACAACATCCCAACACCCACCACTCACTCAGAGGGGATTCTGGGAGTCCCTGAACCCCAATCATGTCCACTTTGCCCCTCCCCAAATAGGTCCCCAGAGTGTCACCTTTACAGTCTGGGAGAGACACATCAGAGCTCTGGCCACTGTCCCTACCCAGATTAACACACACACACACACACACACACACACACACACACACACACACACGAACATAAAAACAGGGCCCCAAAGATTTCCCTGATGGAGCTATCATGGATGGCCAGAACTCATCAACATCTCCAGTCACTTCAATGGCTTCAGGGACAATCCCGCTCCCCACACTTACATGGAAATGCAGCATAGTTCTCTCTTCTTCTACCTGTGAGAAGAAAAGCTGTGAGAGACCAGGGAAGACCCCGACCCTAGGAAGTTTCCTGAACTGACAGCAGACCCAGGTTAGAGACAGGAGCAATGAGGCGTGTGGATGTTTCCCATTAGTGAGGCAGAGCACACTTCTAAAAGGGGCTGAGAGAGAACCAGACCTGACCTTTCCTACCTGTGTTTCTCCTCCTCCACACAACAGCCACCACAGCTCCAATGATGGCCACAGCTCCAAGGAGAACCAGAACAGCAATGTTTGCCATGATGGGGACAGTGGACTGAGGAGGCTCTGGGAAGGGAAGGACAGGAAAAGAGGTGAGTGAGGGTCATGAACCCAGCTGTCAGCCCTGACCCTGCTCAGATTCTGCAGAAGGCTCCAGCTTCCCCTGACCCCAGCTCTGCACCCACACCCTCCTTACCCCATTTCAGGGTGAGGGGCTCAGACAGCCCTTCATGGTGCACATGGCATGTGTATCTCTGCTCCTCCCCAGAAGGCACCACCACAGCTGCCCACTTCTGGAAGGTTCCATCCCCTGCAGGCCTGGTCTCCACCAGCTCCATGTCCTGAGTCTGTTCCTCCCCATCCCTCTGCCAGGTCATGAAGATCTCAGCAGGGTAGAAGCCCAGGGCCCAGCACCTCAGGGTGATGTCTCCTTTCATTGTTGGGTGATGGGTCATATGTGTCTTTGGGGGATCTGTGTGGAAGATTTAAGAAATCCCACAATTAAGAAGATAAACTGAAATTTGCAAAGACAAAGTTAAACCAATGCTGACACTAAACTGTGTCTGTTTGGACAATTCTGTCATCACACTAGTGACCTCAGGTAGAGCTGGTCCCCTCATCACAGAACTGCACATTTTCCTGGGGGGACTCAGTAGCTAAGAGGGAATCCACGTGAGCCAGCAGGTCAGCATGGTCTTCCTCATGTGATGTTCTATAGCATTAGTTAGGTAGTAAAAGAATAGAACGAAAGGAAAATAATTAATTTCTGTATGTATTTAAATTCATATCAAAATAAGAAATCAAGTACAAGACCTACATGAAGGGTGCCATCAACTCCTGCTGCCACCACTGAGGCACAATCACTCTGCCAATCTTGCTGACCAGCATAACTGTCTGTCCAGTGAACAGCCATCACCAAAGTGTGCAGCAGAAATGTGGTGAACCTCTGACACTCAGCCAGAGAAAATGACTCCCCAAGCCCTGCCTCTGGGGGACCAGATACAAGGTATTGTCACCAGGAGCCCTGGAAGTGTGCTGTGGAGCCCAGGGCAGCACTCCCTGGGACACAGCGGTGCTCACAGGGGTGTGTGGATCGTCCCTGTCACTCCTGTCCTGGAGCTGCAGAAGACCCTGTCTCTGAGGAAGTTCAATTCCTAATCCACTGGGGCAACACTGTGACTTGTTGGGGC